TTACCTTGCACAGTTGTATAGGATCCTCTCCTATGCTGAAATTGCATACTTTGATTTCCCTACAACTTTTCACAGTGTGCATTAGAAGCTGCAGCACATCATTTTTAGATATTTCCATGTCTAAAATAAGGTATGCAATGAAAACAAAGGTTTTATTTAATAATCTTATGGACGCAAACAAAAGAAGCTCTGCAATTCCAATCCCTACTTTGGGGCATTCACAAGACTAAGAACTAGGGCTGCACCGATACCGATACTAGTATCAGTGCCGATACCGAGTATTTGGGTGACTACGTCTACTCATGTGTGCCTGGAGGGGACCCTGATTCTTTCTTTTAGTTATTATTAGAGATATTTATATAGTGCTGACAATTTACACAGCGCTTTACATAGTATGCACATTCACATCAATCACTGCCCTCAAGGAGCTTACAATCTAAGGGTATCTCTAGCACACACAGGGCCAATTTACCTACCAACATTGTCTGGAGTGTGGGAGGAAACCAGAGTACCCAGAGGAAACCCACACAAGCACAGGGAGAGCATGCAAACTCCATGCAGATAGTGAGCTGACTGGCATGCGAACCAGGGAGAAGTGCTGACAACTAAGCCACTGTGCTGGCCATAGTCTTGTTCTCTTGATCTCATTCCTTGTCTGGAGATATGGGTGATAATGATCCCCTTTACGTCAAACATCTGTTGTCAAATCACTAATTTCTTAAAATTAGCAGAAAAAAAATGATGGTATTTGGGTTACAGTTATTTATTTATTTTTTTTCTAGCTGGTGGATCCTGCTGGTGTAGATGGTATGCTTCCATAGCCATCTACTTCCATGGGTAGATCTCCTCTGTGAAGACAGCCAGTGACATCGGAGACAGAGCAGTGGCAGTGACTTTGTTCCATAAGCTTCTGGAGCACAGAAGAGAAATGACTCAAGACAGGTGCTACCTTCTTGCCTAGAAATCATGGTTGGAAATGTCTACTCCTTGCGTTCCCGTGAAACAAAAGAGTAACATTAACAAAATAAAAGAAAAAAAGAAAAGAATTTGCGAATTTTGCATTTATTGTCACCTGGTAAATTTATAAGTGACCTCTTCTTTTCCAAAGAGAAGCTATGTTCACATTTTCAGTCCCGGGACAGCAAGCAATGACAGTTTATAAAGGGAACCTGTCACAGCTTGGCTTGAAGTTTACCTAAAAACTAAAACTTTATTGGATAGATTGGGAAAGAGTTGCAATCCCTGTAAGGTTTTTATTGCTGTGTTCATACTGGGCAGGTTAACCTTCTCTGACTATCACACCAATATGAGCTTGGTTGGGCATTCTGTACCAAACCATGGGTATTATTATGGAGCTGCTGGGCAGATTCACCTTCTCTGACTATCACACCTATATGAGCTCGATTGGACACTCTGTTACAAAACCATGGGTATTATTATGGAGCCGACCAATCCATGACTGGCTAGAACAGCCTCCACTCTCCTGGGAAGGCTTTTCAAAAGACTTAGCGTGGCTATATGACTTTGTGCCCATTCAGCCAAACTTTATAAAGGCAGGTAATGATGTTGAAGTAGACCTGGCTCTTAATCGCCATTCCAATTCACCCCAAAGGTGTTCATGTCCATGAAGGCCACTTGAGTTCCTCCACACCATACTGCTCAATCCATATCTTTATGGGGGCACAGTCAGGATGGCCTTCCCCAATTGTTTTGCCACAAGATTACCACAAGTTACCCCCATAGTTCTCTTTTAACATATAACAGGTTACAATGACATAATAGTTAATCAGGAAGCTGCTGGACGTCCTGGTTAATGTACGAGACATTAAAAAGTGCCGTTTTTTTCCTTATTTTTTTTTATATGAGGAATAGTTAGAGCTAGTTAAAACAATTCCCCATGCTAAAGCTGGCCATACACTGTTAGAATTCACATGAATTGTCTGATATTCTAAAAGCATCGTTTACATGTGGTCTGGCCGCATACCAAAGGCCAATATCATTTAAGAAAACTAGAACTTTTTTTAGCACAAAAAAAACTTGCTTTACAGGGACCATGCAATTATGCAATTAAGGGTCACACACATATAAAAGAATGTGTAAAGTGAAAAAATAAAATAAAAGGCAGTTTGTACCACTCCTTATCCTTCTTATCCTCATCATGTCATAACTGAGCAGATCTCAATCAGGAAAAAGGCTCACTTCCAATCACGCAATAGGATTTCCCCTCTTTGGCTCCATTGCATCTGACATGAGAGTGGGTGGCCACAAAAAACTAAATTGTGAGGGCATCCTGGCTTGCCAGTAATGATTTTGATCAGTTGTAGTCAGTGAGCCGACGAGATTTCTTATGCTTTGAAACCACCGACAAAGACACATCTCCAACCGTTAACATCAGTAGGTAGTTTTATTAAAAATAAGTCAATTATTAAACATTCTAAAAATTCAGTCAGCTATTGCTAATTGGTGCCAGATACAGATTGTTGATCCATCCATGACTGCCACCCCGCTGGTGTTTTACTTGCAGTCCAATGAAAATTTGACTTAACGCCAGTAATAAGTCTATAGCGGCTTAAGGTATTTCCAGAGTATTGGGCGCCCATCTGGTGTGCGTTGGAAAAAAAAGTGTTAAAGCCACGTTTGCAAGGAATTTCTGTATGCCGTCATTACGACGATCCACTACACTTTAACTTAAAGGACCCTTTAATGGAACCCGTGGTGTGGTCGCTCAAAGCAAAGCAAGGGGATTCCCTTAACCCCCCCTTGCCAGCTACATGTAAATCACCTTTATTTGCTCCATTCATCTGTTGGCAATGAGGAAAGACAGCCCTGTGTAAACTCTAAGTTGCTCCAGTTGGAGCTTACAAAGGTCTGAGATAAGGTCATCAAGGCTCTTAAGCAACCCTGACATGGGATTTATTTTCTAAAAAAAACGGGCCCCTGCACAAGAAAACTGTTCATTCTTCCGTGGAAGAAATCAAAGCCGGCTACAGGGACATAGGTAAGATTTTCTCGGAGGCTGTAACTCATCAACAAAGTGACAATCCAAGTCAATAGAGAGAACCATATGATTAGTCTTCTTTTGCAGAGCCCTTTTTTGGAAAAAAATTCCAAGCAACAATTTTAAATTGTAATTAGTTTAAATGTTGCAAAATGTTCCTTACACTTCCTCTGACAGTTTTGAAAAAGGATATTTTGAGGAAACCTGTGATCACTTTATACCTACTAAAGTAATTGTAGACCTGTAAAGCAGGCACAGTATGCCTTGCAAAGGCCCCATGGGAGCCCTAAACCCCAGGATCCTCTAACAAGCAAAGCTTAACATTCATCTACTTAATTTAAGTCCATTTCCAACTCCCTGACTTACTTCTGGTTATAACTGTGATGACCACCCTTACTAACCAATAGTGAGGTGTGGACACCAGTAGAGGGCAGATCTGGGATCTGATTGCCATAACAAGAGGATCCCATGGTACTCCAACATGACAAACTGGGAGTTGGGTCTGCAACAGTTCTGTATTCTGGGTCAGGCCAGGAAAGTTTACAATCACACTGACCACAAGACTTAATTCATATCAATTACGTTGTCATGGCATTAACTGATATCAAGAAGGCTGTCATGGCATTAGGTCATCGGACCCAAAGCATGGTAAGTTTATGTTTAGTCTAAAAACCTTACCCACCCTTCCTGTTTGAAAAACCTGTCAAAAAAGAAATATAAAAACTTTAATTGTTGACCGTTCTGGAAAATGCTAGTTACCTGCACGTCATCCTGACCTGGCTGGCCTGCTTCTTTGAGTCATGGACTGAAAACAAGTAACCAGATGGGTATACTAATCTTTTTTTCCCCTGCATACTTGTTCTGGGGCATGGACTCAGAAAGTACTTCATGGTCAGCCCAGCAGCCAACAAACTAGCATTTTTAGCAATGGCAGCCACCATGTATCTCTCTTAGGTTTACCTTTAAGTGAATATTAATTGTTTGACTGGTGGAACGGATGGGGGAGGGGGCGGGTACAGCTGGCTCTGTCTCTAGATAGGCAGAGCCAGCTGTCACTCAGGCAGCTGGGTGGATCCAGGCAGAATTGTCGGGATCCGTTCTGGCTGTGGCATCTCAGTTTACCGCGAGCTGTACGGGAGGACGCTAGTTTGTGTCCTCCCATTACTCTTAGGAGAACTATGGGGAAAAGTCATAACCCCATAGTTCTCCTTTAAACCCACTTCAAAGACGCTAGTGGTGTAGACTGAGAAACTGTGGACACAAGCTAAGGACATATTTGATTTGCCCACAAAGCCTTAGGATGGACAAGGAACAACTTTCCCATATGGACAAGCCGGGTGCAGAATTTGCTCTGGAAGAAGCAATAACGCATTCACATTATAAGGCGTGTTGTTGTATTTACAGATTGAGGATCATGTTCATAATTCATATTCATAAGTCACATATAAAGGACGGAGAAGAATCTAAATTAGTTAAAGCATGCCATAAAAACAGTAAATAGACGATGAAAGGGTGAGGAGTGAAAAAACCACGCCTGGAGGAAGATCAATACCTTTTGAGCAGAAAACAGAAGGTCTCATTAAAAAAAAATCAGGAGACGAGAACCATTTTTTCTGCCCAAAGCAACCATTCTGACCTGCACTAGAACAATAGCTGGCCTTTGATTGGTTAATGTGGGCAGCACAGATGTTATTCCTCCAATTTTTACAGCAGAGGCCTGGTATAAGAAGAAGTAATGATTATTGAGCGGTTAGGTAATTATTTAGTGCAGGATAAAGCAAGTGACTGTTAACTATGCAGCTTGACCCTTTCTTGACGAACTGGTTCCACACCGGGAGGACCGGGCCATGTAATGATGATGCTGGGTGTACATAATACTTCTTCTTACATTCATCCATTCTCTTTCACTTTGCCCACTATGTCAGAAGTCACCAAACAAATGTGAAGAGTAGGAAGTCACCAATGAGGGGTGTTACATTTCGAGGCCAGGACAATGCTCTCGGGTTAGGACAAAAAAACATAAAGGTCTCCTCATAACTTCAGCTGCTTCTCCATCAAATCTTTCAGTTTGAACTTTTGGACCTGAAAAAACAACAGTATAAAGATGACATGAAAACCCAACCAACACATACACCACATATCAAGTTTTGGTGTTTCCTCTATGAAATTCCAGCACACCCGTCCCAATATTACCTTTCCAGAAATTGTAAGAGGGTACTCATTCACAAAGACTATGTAACGAGGGATCTTAAAATGGGAAATCTGTTGGGAAAGAGTTAGAAAGTGAGATTAGGTAGGAAAATGTTACAGAAAACCTTAAAGCAGAACTCCAGTTAAAAGTATGCAATACCAACCTTGTAGCTAATGCTTTCCCCACAAACTCACAGATTCACCATCAGCCGTCTTCTGGCTGATGGAAATCACCATTTCCAATCAACCCATTTCCTGTGATCCTAGGCGGTCATAGACACACCTCTTGGGGGTCCGTCACTATGTCAGCCTGGGCTCACTGTACAACACTGTAGAGATCAGCACTAACATCATAATGTGGCGCCACTTTCTGTAGTATTGAAGACCGCCCACAGCTAAGAGAGCTAAGAGAGCCCCTGACTCTTCTGCCATATAAACACTGATCAAGCTTACTGTGTCAGGAGTCTGGCCCTTCCACCTATGCCTTACTATAGGCCAACCCCAGAAGCCTAAAGTAAACCTATACTTGTAGTGGGCCATACAATCGCTGTACGTCCAGAAGCCACCATACAATCGCTGTACTTCCTTTCCCCGCTCTACCCTGCTGCCTGGATCTGCTGACCTCATAACCTGCCGCCCGGCTTCCTGATTGGTCAGGAAGCCAGGCAGCCTCGGGAAGTGAAGCCGGTGTTCTTTTTGAACACCGGCTTCCCAGGCAATCAGGAAGCCAGGCAGCGGGTCATGATCCGCCGCCCGGCTTCCTGATAATCGGGGCACACAGCACCGGTATTTGGTATCAGCAAGTACCGGAAAAAAAAATATCAGTACTCGTACTAGATACTGAAAAACCGGTATCGGTGCAGTGTCAATTCACAACAAAACCATAAGGCACCTGTTTCCACTTTTTGGCCTGACATAGATAATCTCTATTGGCTAACCTTTCGCTTGCAATATTCCTTGATCTCTTCTGCTGTGCACTCTTGCACGCTATGAGTTTGGATACAACACAGATCTCCTCTCCCATCCGGCTGGTTACATACCCCCCCAGTAAGTCTATAAGGACTGCAGACATCACCCTTGGCAATATACAGTATATGAAAGTGTATTTTCTTATAATTGTGTCAATTCACCAAATATATAAGGCAACCATTTCCATTTTTTTTTCCATCTGGCTTAGATGATCCCAGTTGGCTAACCTTTCCCTTTCACTATTCCTTGATCTCTTCTGATGTGCATTCGTGGACGCTATAAGTTGGGACACAAGCACAGATCTCCTCTCCCATCAGGCTTTTATACATACCCCTCAGTACCTCTATAAGAACTGCAAACATCAACCTTGGTATGGCTTAGATGATCCCAGTTGGTTAAACTTTCACTATTCCTTGAGCCATGAGCTGGGACACAGGCACAGATCTCCTCTCCCATCAGGCTGGATACATACCCCTCTGTACCTCTATAAGAACTACAGACATCAACCTTGGTCTGGCTTAGATGACCGCAGTTGGCTAACCTTTCCCTTTCAACATTCCTTGATCTCTTCTGCTGTGCATTCCTGGATGCCATGAGCTGGGACACAGGCACAGAGCTCCTCTCCCATCAGGCTAGATACATACCCCTCACTACCTCTATAAAAACTACAGACATCAACTTCGAAAATTTATATGAAAGTCTCTTTCTTTATAATGGTTTAAATTCACAAAAATGGCGCCAAAACTATAAACAGTTACCATTTTTTATCCTGGCTTAGATGATCTCAATTAGCTAACCTTTCCCTTTCGCTATTCCTTGATTTTTTCTGCTGAGCTCTCCTTGCTGCTATGAGTTCAGATACAAGCACAGATCTCCTTTCCCATCAGGCCGGTTACATATCACCCAGTACCTCGATAATTACTTCAGGCATCACCCTTGGCAATACATATGAAAGGGCCTTTCCTTATAATGGTGTCAATTCACCAAAAAGTGCGGGATCCCTTGTGTGTTTCTGTACCTTTAAGGAGGTGGGGCGTCCTCCTGACAGGCCTGCACCCAATTTGATATCTTCTGCCCCATGTGCTCCAAGATGGAGACTCTCATAGTTTAGAGTTAGGACCGCACTATAAGAGGTGCCTTGGCGCGGCAGTGCGGCTTACACATCCTTTGCAGAAGACGTGTATCCAAACCTCTGTCATTGTCCTTAGTGGTGAGACAAGTTGTTTTACATGCTAGTTTGTGAGTGTGCCATGATGCCTTTCTACTGTTCTACAATTCACCAAAAAGGCCCCAAAAACGTAAGGCAGCCGGTTTTATTTTTTCGGCCCGGCTAAATGATCTCAGTTGGCTAACCTTTCCCTTGCAGTATTCCTTGATTTCTTCTGCTGTGCACTCCTTGTCGCTATAAACTCGGATACAAGCACAGATCTCCTCCCCCATGCGCGCATCTTTGACTCCGACGATCTGCAATGAGACGGTGCAATTTGGTCTACAACAGAAAGACGGTCAACTACCACTCTATAACCTGTTCCTGCTAGTTACCTGGGCTTCCATGACTTTGGGGTGCGTGTGCAGGAACTGCTCGATTTCAGCTGGATATATGTTTTCACCTCCTCGGATGATCATGTCTTTACAGCGGCCAACGATTCGGCAGTATCCAAATTCGTCCAGGGTGGCTATGTCTCTAGAGGATCGCAGCAGAATGATGACATTAATCCATTAGTAAACCAAAGACCGTATATGCCTACTGGGTCAACATTTTGCTTGATCTCCTGTGTGCTAAATGCATGTCTCTAATTGGTCCTCTGAAAACATGCTCTTCCATTCACTTTAAATAGGGATAACCTAATAAGATTTATATCTGGGCCAAAGAACATAATAAAATGAAAACATATTTACAACACAGGTGCATGTTTTGTGCCTGTAAATATACTTCAAGTACAGAAAAATACCTGTTGATAGGCCAGAAATCCAGTGAGCTCCTAACTTGCATTAGCAAGCTGACAACACTGCTGTTGCTACATTGAAATCCCAAGGAGTGTTGTCAGCCCTGTCCAGTCACCATATGCATTAGAAGCTGCAGCAAGTCAGATAGAGCCCTCCTTATTTCCTAGCTGGAGAATGTCCAGCAACATCTAGTAATTTTCTCCCCAGTTTTACTGTCCTTGGCCGACCCTTTCTATTCATTGGATTTAAGTTCTTTCAATCATGGAGGATCAGCATCACATGTAGGGGTTTCCTAAGGTAGTCTGCAGGCAAATACAGCTTGCCTTGGAATTCCAACTCCTCCAGACTGACACCCACCTATTAAGATAGTTTGATATTTGCATTACCTCTCTCAAGAGCCAGCCCACTGCTCAGATCAGGGTTGAGGGCTGTTTGGAGGAGTATTGAGGCTGGGTGCTGTGATGTTTTCAGGAAAGTATGTACAGCACCCTGCCTGCCCCCCTACCAGCTATGATCTGAGAAACACAGACCCAGTGAAGATTTTATTTTAACATCTCATTAGCAGGTTGACTGGGGATGGGGGGGACCAGAGAAGGCAAAATATGCACAGATTAAACTTTATCTTTAACCCTTGAAACATTAAGTGTCTTCAAAAATGACAGGTCCACTTTATCCATGCCAGAAAATGCTAAGTCTCTCATAGCAGAGCACCAATAGACGAGTGTGAGTCACATACCCAGTCTTGTACCACTTTTCGGGGGTAATGGTCTCATCTGTCTTCTCTTTGTCAGCCCAGTAGCCCAGCATGACCCCAAAGCCTCGAATCCACAGCTCACCTGAAGTTTGAAGTGGAACTATTTGGCCTGTGTTGGTGTCTACTACCTTTGCCTGAGCAGAAATAGAGAGGTCAGCTCTGGAAAATTCCCTTAGTGAAAGGATTATAAAAACAACGGCATAAAAAAAAAAACAAGTAGACACAGCGGCGCCTCACCTCTGTATGGGACATGACATAACCTACAGTGTCCATTTTCCGGAAAATATCATCATACTGGAACCCCATGAAAGTGACCGGGCTGTTTTCTGTTGTGCCATAGCCAACCTGTAAAAATAGAACAGCAACAACACTTTTTTGTATGCTATTTTTACATATCTAATGTCATAAACATAATGTCATTAACTTAAAAGAGAACCTTAAATACGTCTTGACTTTTTAAAGTGCCAGTGTCACGATCCATCCAAGAGTGGTGTCATGATCCATCCAAGAGTGGTGTCATGATCCATCCAAGAGTGGTGTCACGATCCAGCCAAGAGTGGTGTCACGATCCTGCCAAGAGTGGTGTCACGATCCAGCCAAGACTGGTGTCACGATCCAGCCAAGACTGGTGTCACAATCCAGCCAACACTGGTGTCACAATCCAGCCAACACTGGAGTCACAATCCAGCCAAGAATGGTGCCACAATCCAGCCAAGAATGGTGTCACGATCCAGTCAAGACTGGTGTCACGATCCAGCCAAGACTGGTGTCACGATCCAGCCACGAGTGGTGTCACGATCCAGCCAAGAATGGTGTCACGATCCAGCCAAGAATGGTGTCACGACCCAGCCAAGAGTGAGCAGGTCCGGATCATAATTTCATTTTTAATATCACGGTACAGGTTTTCCATGATCCAGTTAGGGCAAGGTTAATCTGGAATATGCATTGCATTTACCAGTACAGTGTCGAAGAAAGGCCAAATATCTAATGTCTACTGTATATCAGGGGTAGTGAATTAAAATTCAAGGAGGCCCGGTGAATAAAATTGCCATCGAGCCGAGGTCCAGACAGAACGTTCGCGTCCGTACTGCAGTCTGCCCCATCTAGAGTGCACTAACACCAGGCACAGCTTCATACACGTGCATGCTTTACACGCACATGTTCATTAGAATCAAATGGCAGGGCTGGTTTTAAATTTTTTAATTGTATTACTTTTTACCTTTTTATCGCCTCTTTTTAATTTTTTTTCACTTAACTTTTGCTATCACAAAAGGGGCTAGCAGCATTTGAAGGTGATATGTTCTGTTAATGGAGACATCAGGAGTCTATTAGACCTCTGATGTCTTTCCTGCCCTCCAATACAGGTCATCCAGCACAGGAATGTGCTTCATCTTCTGTATATCCGGCACATCAGCCAGCTTCTGACAAGTGAGAGGGCTTCATACGTTAGTGATCACACAACAGATTGGAGAACGGACGTTCCCCTGTCTACTCCCACTCTCCATCCTGACACTGTGTGCCCTGGTTGGAGGCTGGGGTATCCAATCGCCAAACGCAACTACATTCCAAGATTGCGGTCCAGACAGAACCGCCACTCACTCCGTTTCCAGACCACGGTCTGCCATTTACTGAAAGCTGGTCTCTACCCTCACAGCCAGGGTTGTTTAGATCCTCTGTGTTCCTGTTAGACTATTCAGATTCGGGTACCTTCATGTTGGTACTGGTTCTGCTAGGCTAAAGCGTCATTGTTTGGTGTCTACACATAGCTGAACAACAGCTGAAACCTTTACTCTTAAATTTTGGATTCAGCATTCATTAACTCAACACGGCTAAGAAGATTTTGATAACCAACCTATTCTACCCTATCGGATACTGTGGAGGGCGACTCACTTTAATCGCATAGGAATAAAAATAGAGATCTGCAACCAAACCTTTGGATTATATCTGAGGGGTCTCATCCATATGGGGGTATGGTCTGTGTGTTTTATCCAACCACAGGGGCAAGAGAAATAATTTTTCTGTAAGTTTCATCCCTTTTACTTTCAATACTGTTTGTTTATGTGTATTTTCTTTTGTAACTCCTGTATTGTTTTTGTAACCATTCCTTTGGAACTTTGGATATTCCAGTTTGGCCAGTTTCCGAGGATAGGCAACGAGAAATTATACCCTGTGCATTGTTCAGCTCCTCCTCCCTGTACCCTCCATAACCCGATCTTTTACAGTATGTCATGTTAAATAAAAAGAAAATCATATTCAGTAAATCTCTACAATACAATGTTTTATCACTTAAAAAGCACTGCAAGTACCTGAAAAATACCTAGTGATCTGCCAGAAATCCAATGAGCACCAAACGTTTTGTTTCAGCTGACAATACAGTGTCTTTGCTGTATTAAAATCCCAACCAGCATTTTCAGCCCTGTCTGCTGGACTATAGAACTCTGGCAATCCCTAGCACCTCTCTGTCCTTCTCCACATGCATACATTGATTTCATTCCAAGAAAAACAATACTGCCTCTTGACTCCTAAGAGTTATAATGTGTGCACAAGAAGGGATCTTGAGAGATGTAGTTCTGGGGGCCAGCCTTCAGCAATAGAAGCTGAGCCCCAGCAGCTAACCCAGCATACATTTTACAAGGCTGATGGATGGGGGAAGCTCTGGAGACATCCTGGAGGCTAGCATAGGAGAAGGTGATGAGGGAGCTAGAGAGCAGGCTGCATTAGGAGGAGAGTTTAGGTGATATTTTGAGACGAGGTTGGTCGGCTGGGGGCAGAGTTTTGGATGGCTTTGTATGTTGTTAATGTTTAGAATTTTAGATTTTGAGAAAGCGAAATCCATTGGAGGGATTGACTGAGAGTGGATTGGTAAGGTAGATGAGTCTACCGCAGCAGCATTCATAACAGACTGAAGGGGCATAGCCTGTGTAGAAGTAGGCCAACGAGGAGGGAGATGCAATAGCCGAGGCGAGAGATAACAAGGGAGTACTAAATATTTATACGCACGGAGAAAACTCTGTATACTGTTTGGTCACGCGGGAGTTAATAGGCCATCCTGGTATGGTATTTTTGCACATTCATGGGCTGCACCCTCCACGCATCCATCACATTTCCCTGGAGGTGCCCCTCCTAGATCTCACAAGTTAGAGACATGTGGCAGCTTCATGAAAAAAAGTCTGTGGGATTTTCCAAAACACTTCTGGAGCCGATGGACCCTGGAGAGGAGTGGGGTACGGTACAGGTGACGAGGGTAAAACGTCAAAGAGATATAAGTGTCACACGGGTCAGTAATGACACCCACGGGCCTAATGAACAAGGCAAAGGGGAATGTGCAAATTTCCGTAATCTTATACCAGCCAATTAGAACTCACCTCTTACCGATAAAAACATACTGGGGTCGATTCAATATTCTGGCCATAATGTGGTCTACGAATGTCCTTGGAAAAGCAGTGCGACAGTTCGAATGATATTACCGATACGTGCGACACAATTACATTATGTCACAATGGCTTTGACAAGTTCCTAAATAAACTCCGCCATAATAAGAGATAAGGAAACTGGCCGAAAATAAGGCCAATGTCATTTTGGAATAATTTGTGTCAGGAGTGAAGAGACTGTCTGCTCCCCACATTGGTTCCTAGGACGTGGGCTGCCTCTAGCAACTAATGGTGTTGTGTTGTTGAGCCTGATCAGTTGAATGGTAGAGAAGAATGTCACCAGCACACCAAAATCTTTTTAGGATAATCAATTGTTCATTTTATTGAACAGATTGATTGAAAAAATTGATTATCCTAAAAGGATTTTGGTGTGCTGGTGACATTCTTCTCTACCAAACTTATGTGATAGAGGCGCCATCAGCAGTCATTTCAGCATCCATCCCTATCATTGGGATTTCCGGTAAGGAGTGCAATAAGTTCTTGTTTACAACCTGATCAGTTGATAGGACACCACTGTCTTAGCAACTGATCAGGCCTGACAGCACAGTGTCACTGGTTGCTATGACGTGGGTAGCCTTGAAGCTACCAGCATCCTAGCAACCAATGAAGCTCAGCCATACAGCGTTCTTGAGACCAATCAGGCTCAGCTGCACAAGAACAATGGTGGCTAGGACACCAGCCGCACCAAGGCCACCAGCATCCTAGAAACCAACCAGGCTTGGCCGCATAATGTGAATGGTTGCTAGGATGCTGGCAGCTCTGAAGCTGCCAGTATCCTAGCAATCAACAAAGCTTGGCCACGCTGTGTCTTTGAGACCAATCAGGCTCAGCTGCACAACATCATTGGTTGTCAGGTCACCAGCAGCACCAAGGTTGCAAGCACCCTACAAACCAATCCGGCTTGGCCGAGCAATGTGATTGGTTGCTAGGATGCTGGCAGCCCCAAAGCTGCCAACGTTCTAGGAATCAATTAAGCTTGGCCACGCAGCGTCCTTGAGACCAATAAGGTTCAGCCACACGTTATTGGTTGCTGGGACAACAGCATCACCAAGGGCGCCAGCACCCTGGAAACCAATCAGGCTCTGCCGCACAATGTGATTGGTTGTTAGGAGATCAGCAGCCCCGAGGCTGCTACTGCCTTAGCAACCAATGACGCTCGGCCACACAGAGTCCTTGAGACCTGTGGAGAAGGCAGGCGCTGGGATTAATTAATGTACATGTTTCTGGTTTCTTCTACCATATGTGGCAGTCAGGATGGGCCATGCCTGCATCAGATCATCATTTTCCTGAAGCATGGTAAATTATATATCGGTTGCCATGGGTTACTGCACATCTTCACTACCAGAATGAAGCCCAGAAATAGGTGAGCCCCCATCCCCCCCTCGAGTATACAGTATAGCTGTAGTGATGTTTTTGTGCAAATTCAGCAATCTGTTCTCAGCATAAAAATGACAAGCATTCGAAAATAATGAACTAAAAATTGCCCAGACGGTGAGGTACACAGGGAGAATCAGACAGCGCGGCCACAAATAGCCTTTAATAGAGACTATAAATACTGCCATTGCCAAAAAAATGTCTGCTACCGGCGAAACGCTGGTTATGCCAAACTGCTGCATAAATAGAACGGGGGCTCTGTGCCAGGCTACTGCCAGCAGTGTGTCAGGTCCTCCGCATCCAGGACTGAGATGGATATGTGCAGGCCAGCAACAGTGGAACATTACATTAAAGAGACCCTGTCACCAACTTAACATTTAAAGGAGAACTATGAGGTGAGTGCTTTTCACTCACCTCATAGTTCTAGCCGACCTGTGACAATGAGACTGTCACAGGTCGGCTCAGTAGATCGGGAAGTGAGGGAACACATACCGGCGTGTGCTCACCTCTCGATCCTTTCACGGCTCTCTGCCATGACAG